TTAGGTTTGCACTTAAACAAAATTCTCAAGTTTTTTATTCTAGGAGCTACAGATACCTGACGCACTATTGCCGGACCCTGTATAATACTTTGAATATAAATATAATACCATATTATACATCTCCCCTTACAAGTTTAATTTTTTTGGTTTTTTAACTACACGTCAATATCTAGAGGTTTGAACTCTTGTATTATTAGTCAATAATGGTGATTCGAATTTTAGCAAGGGGGCATGCATTTCTGGTGTCTTATACTTAGAATCATCTAGCTCAGAATGACTATTTTTAGGTATAGTTAAAGGGGTAACATCACTGTCAGTAGAATTAGAATTTTCAGTTTCAGACTCAAATGAATTATCAGTTAACTTAAAAGGGTTTTCTGATGGTTTAATATCAATGCGGTTTCTTCTGACAGTGTTGCCTCTACAGTCTTGTAATATATATGATCTAGGACTATCATGTAACTTTTCAATCTTTGCCGGTTCCCAAACATTATTTCTGTTATTTAATACAGTAACATTGCAGCCCTTGTTAAGTGGTTTTAGACTTTTAGCATTTTTATTATAGTGTTGTTCATTAATTTTGCGTTTAGCAAGAATTTTTTCTTTTACATTTACACACAACATAGGCTGTAATAAATCACAAGTAATTGGAACTTTAGTCTTAAAATTTCTGCTATTTAACAGCTGTGATGGTGAATAGCCCATCCCTTTTAATGTACAATTCCTATAATTTAATAGAGCAGAACATAAATCACCTTTTCCTTCCTCCAATGATTTTTTAAGAAGTTTTTTTGCGATTGCTACAGCTTTTTCAGCCAATCCATTTGATTGTGGATATTCTAGGCTTCGAGTGACAAGAGTAAAGTTCCAATCCTTAGCAAATTCTAAGAATTTTACACTATTATAAGGTACATTGTCAGTGACAAGAATATCAGGGGCTCCATACCTGGCAAAAACAGGTTTCATTTGAGCAATAATAGCCTCAGCACTTTTATTTCGTATAGACAAAATCTCAAGCCAGTTTGAATAAGCATCGAACAAAACACAATAACTTTGAACAGCATATGTGAAAATATCCGAACCAACACGTTCCCATGGCCTTTCAAGTATTGGGTATTGTAAAAGTGTTTGCTTAGGATTTTTTCTAGAAAATTTTTCACAAATTTTACAGTTTTTCACATACGATTCAATATCTACTGTAATACCAGGCCAATAAAATGCTTTTCTGGCGTGCGATTTTGTCTTTTTCAACCCTAGGTGGCCTTCATGTAAAAGTTTAACTTTAGGTCTATAGCAAATATGTAAATTATATTTTTAAAAGCTTAAGTCTCATTCTTAAGATTCTTGGGGAAGCAGACTGTAATTCTTTTTTGAAAATTGATTCCAAAGGTTTGTGGTCGCTGTAAATTTTAGTAGGCATACCATAAATAAAGTAATGAAACTTTTTTACAGCAAATACAATAGCCAATGCTTCTTTTTCTATCTGTGCATATGCTTGCTCAGTTTTGGTTAAACTGCGCGATGCAAAGGCTACTGGCTTGCCTTCTTGTAAAAGACAAGCTCCCAACCCATCTTTAGAGGCGTCTGTCTCTATTTCAATGGGGATTTTTGAGTTAAAATATGTCAAAACAGGGGAATTGGTTAATAAATGTAGTAAATTATTAAAAGAATTTTTGCATTCTTCAGTCCACTCAAACTCAATATCATTTCTTGTTAAATTTCTTAAGGGTGCAGTTATTTTAGAAAGATTTGGTATAAACTTGCCTATGTATTTGACCATGCCTAAAAATCTTAAAACATCTGCCTTACACTCAGGAAGTTTCTTTTTCCTTTTTCATATTTTTTATTAGTTTCAACACCTTTATGTGAAAAGATTTTGCCCATAAACTTAACACTTTCTTTTTTGAACTGAATTTTTTCTTTGTTAAATTTAAGGTTATGTTTAGTAGCCTTTTCTAATACACATTTCAGGTTCTGGTCATGTTCAGCCTCGGTGGCACCTGTAACAATCAAATCGTCAAAATACAGTCCTACTCCAGGGATATCTCCAAATATTTCAAAATTTTTCTTTTGAAAAACCTCAGGGGTTGAACATATACCGAACGCTAGTCTCTTAAACCTAAAACGACCAAATGGTGTACCAAAAGTCATAAGATCTGCACTTGGGCTATCCAACTCAACTTGCCAGTACCCATCCTTCATGTCTAGGACAGTAACAAAATTTTTGTTTGTCAGTTTAACAACAATATCATCACATGATGGAATGAGGAAGTGTTCTCGTTGTATAGCTTGGTTCAGATCTTTTGGATCTAAACAGAGACGAAGGTCACCGTTTGGTTTTTCAACAATAACCAGGGGGTGTACCCACTCTGTAGGTTTATCTACTTTTTCAATGATATCCTTGGACACAAGATCATATAACTTTTTTTCAGAGGTTCTAGTTAAATATTAGGCACTCTCCTAATAGCATTTATTTTTGGTTTTGCATCTTGTTTTTAATGTTATATGATGTTGTGTAGGAATTTTCTAACCCTTCAAAAAGATTTGCATATTGACTAACTACATCATCTAACGTTTTAAAAACGCTTGGTTTATTTAAAGAGTCTACTCGTTCAATCAGTTTTTAATTTTAAACATTCTTGCAACCCTAACAGAGGAATTTTACTTTGGGCACTAACTACAACAAAAGGAACTTTCTACACACTCTTTCACTTTGCACTCTAGCACTACTTCACCAAAACATTGTAGTTTAAAATTTGGGTCACCGTAAGACATTAATGTAACATTTGTCTTGCGTATATAGGCAATCTTAGGGCAATTTTTCTTTAAAACATTTAAAGGTAGTGTGCTTACCTCTGCTCCCGTGTCTAGCTTGAATGTCATAGGCTTACCCTTGATCCATATTTCCTTTGTCCACATAGTTTCTGTGTTACTTTTACTTCTACCACTTGAGTTGATTGCACTTATGTAAAACTCATGGTCACTTTCTTCAGTTGACTCGGACCTTGACTCTTTGTCTACACAATTAACTTTCTTCTTATAGACTTTATTTCTATGACTTTTCTTTCACTTTTATTTGGACACACCTTGGCAAAATGGTCACGACCTTGGCATTTTGCACAGGTTTTTCCAGCAGCAGGGCACTTATTTCCAAACTTACGTTTATAACCACAACTCTTGCAAGGCTTATTTGGGTCTTTATCACAAACTGGTTTAATAAAAGTTCTGGACTCGGTTCTGGATGTACTAGCTCTTACAGCATTTAGTCTTGATTCATTATCTAATGTCTTCACTTGGTCTTTACTAGTTTCTGTGGCTCTACAAACATTTATTGCCTTCGTCAGCTCGGCCAAGAAGCTATCGAAAGATTGACCTTCTTTTTGTACAATCGTATTAAATTTTGCCCTTTCAAAAATTACATTTTTCTGCGGAGCACAATGATCTTCAAACTTCTTTTTTATTTCTGCCAAAATCTTATCTTTACCTGCCTCACACGAAAAACTATTAAATAAGTCTAGACCATCGTCACCAATTAAGGACAAAAAACAAGCCAAATTGCTTTTTTCTTCTTTCTTGGTATTCTAGTCCGGTGGCCTTTGAAAACAAGTCAAACTTTTGAGAAAATCTCTTCCAGCTCTCTGAGATATTCCCGTCTAGCAAGAGCGGGTCTGGAGGTTTAAAATAGTTATCCATTTCTTAAATTTTCTGTTTACAAGCGGCACATACAACAAGCAATGAGCTCAACAGAAAAAACCAGTCGAAAAATTACTATTTTTCACACACTCGATGCGATACATATGTTCACTAGCAACCTGACACCATGTATAACTCGTAAGAGATATAGTACAATTCTTTTAAAAGTTCCTCAATATGGCCGACCTAGTTACGAAAATTGGTAATTTTTTTTTAATGAAAAATAAGTTGGCGTTACCGAATTCAGAACTTATATTCTTTGGTTAATAATATTTTTCGGGATTGTCAAGTTGACGTTAAAGCAGTTAGGTTAAAAGTTTGGTTATTAGGTGGTTGTCATAAATAAAAACATTGAATTATTCAAATTATTTAAATAAGAATAAAGGTATTTTACCGCAGATCTCAAGAGATTTTATTTAAAGGTATTTTATAAACTTTCCCAGTGAGAATATTAACTCCATTTTTTCTTATATATCAGTTAAAGGGACGTAAGAACTATAGAAAGTGAATTTTTGTTTTCATGTTTTAACGAGAGGATGATGGGTTTCATTGTTATAGAGTTGTTAGATCGCCTAATTTCTCTTAATTTGTTTATATTTCATTACAGTTAATCAGAAACTGAATCAATTCAAAAGTGTACAAAAACAGCTACATATTTTATTAAAACTCTTATTTAAATAGTTCTTTTATATACTGTTAAACTGTACAAGTCTTTAGCAAAAAAGTTATATATATATATATATAAGGTAATACATTATGTATAACTTATGAAAGTTTCTATATAAACTTTGATTCTTAGACTTACGATTGTTTAACTCTACGGTACAGATGTATAGACTCTACAGATCTAATATACAATATGAAACTTCTATTACTTGTTTTTAATCTAACTTATATTCCAAAATTATTTATATATTTTATATAATAAACTATATTTATAATACAGTTTAATATTATTTATATTAAACTATATTAATTTTATTTCTTAAGCTAAATATCTCATAGCTACTCATTTCACTCATAATAAGGAAAAAAAGAAATGCTTAAAAACTCATTAAATATGCTTTATTTAAAATATCAACATACAAAAATAGTCATCCATAATCCATGCAAACTGCAAGAATGAATATAAAGTAATATTTACAACTGTAAGTTAGAGTGCAGCCCAACTAATACAGATTTATTGTCATGCCATTCATGTTTATTATCATAATTTAATTTTTATTAATAATATACCTATTTTGGTGTCACTAAGTTATTTATAAACCCAATACTTATAAAATAAAAATTAATACTTACCACTAACTGACCAGATTAAGCCCAATGTCACTCTTATCAGAAAAGCCAAAAAATGTTTTTAATATTCACTTATTTTAAATTGCCAGAAAAACATTAGAAAGTAACTTAAAACTAGGTTTGGAATCAGAAATGACTTGTACACCTAATAAAAATGCATATGCATCAACTAGAGAAGTATAAAGAATTTGGTTAAGTATAGAGCGTACTATAATACGTAATTTTGCTTATAAAATAATTTTCCTTTCAAACGAGCAGTACCTGTAAAACAAATAAATAATAATTTTTGAATCAATAGGTTACTTCAACACATTCAAGACAATTTAGATAAATAATTAGTATATGCATGTATATATTTTATTTACAATGTGAAGTACTGCTTTAAGATAATGTGTTAGAACATCAACTCTTTCAGAAGACAATTCATTAGCAAAGAACTACAGGGGTAATAGATGATCTGGCAACATCAACCACTCCATTCAAAAATTCTAAGTGAATTAATAAATCAAATGTTACATATAAAAACTAACACTGCTCTACAAGCTTGGCAATAAATAACGTTTTTTAATTATGGGAACTACCAGACACTATCCAAATACTTGTTATTTGTTGGTATTTTGAGAGATAGACGTAATATTTTGTCATTTAGGCTAGTGGCTTCTCATCACCAACCTTTTTACATTTTCAAAGCTTTTGTGAAACTCTCTCTCATCTCTGATCTATAAATTACTCAGTGTCCCCAAGCTTTTTTAATATACTTTTTTCTTCTGTCTCCCTCATGTAGACTTGCACTGAACAATCACACAGGAGGTGCCTCATTATTTTCACTGCATTTTCCATTATCAATAATGAATCTGTATTTTCCAGTTAGGTCCATTTTTCAGATCTATGCAGATTATGCTCAGTAAAGAAATCTGTAAGGTGCTGTAGGAAATCTGTTTAAGTTGAGGTTTATAAACTAAATGTTTGGCTTGTCTTTAGCTTGGGGTATGGTTGTAGTAGGAATCCAATAGTGATGGGTTGTTATTTAACTATCTGTTATTTTATAACAATTATTTAGAAATAACATAACGCAACCGTTACTACTTCTAAAAAATAACAGATATAAAATAAAGACACGTAGAGATCGGCCGCTCGTGAAACGAAAAACGAAGTCGGCGCTCTGCACCGCCCCGAAATTCTATGCTGCTCGAAGCAATTCCAAAAACAACTAGTATGGATGGAAAACCTGTTATTTCGTCAACCATCGATACAGGCGGCGAGACAACAGACAACGGAGTGGGGGAATGCGCTACGGCGAACGTAGCTGCTTCGGTCGATCCCGTCGACGGTCGTATTGCGCTTATAACAGCTTAAAAATAATAGGATATAAAAAAAGCAGGTTTTTGAAACAGTTGCGGGCATAACGCCTGGCGGTCGAGAAAACAGGAGTGGGAAAGGAAGGCTGCTGCATCGGTCGATTGTCGATGGAAGTTCGAAACAGGTTGGAGAATAACGCATCAGTTGTTGTAGATATATTGTTTTTCAACCTGTTACGAGCATAACGGGCGGAGGTCGAGATATTATGGCGCTGTATGTTTCAGTACGTTATTAAGTTTCAATATTTAGGTATTTATTTATTCTGAAAAAATTTTCAGAATAATATTTTAAGATTTTTTTTAAAAATGTATACAGGGTGTTTTGAAAAATCTGGTCATTGATTAATCACGATCCTGCTTAAAGCCCTTGACGTAAAAAGCTGATTTTGGAAAACGGATTGACTTTAGGGTGCAGAGGTTCGATAAGAAGGGATTTTCGAAACTCGAATTCAAAGGGGTGAAACCACCCTCAAATAATAGAATATTTTTTATTTAAAAACCGGTGAGTTTTCCGGAAAACTCTTAAACACGTATATTTTATTTCGTTGTTTTTACATATTTTAAGATTTTTAAAAATATATACAGGGTGTTTCATAAAATGTGACCATTGAGTAATCACGATTCTTAAACTGCTTGACGTTTAAAGCTGATTTTGGCAAACGGATTGACTGTGAGGTTGAGGTTCGATAAGGAGGGGTTTCTCGAATCCTAAATTCCAAGAGGGTGAAAACGCCCCTCAAATATTACAATACTTGTTATTTAAAAACGGTTAGTCTTTCAGGAAAACGCTTGGACACATAATTTATTTTGTTTTTTTTACATATTTTGAAATTTTTTAAAAAATAATACAGGGTGTTCCAAAAAGTTGAGTAATTGATTAACCACGATTCTGCTTAAACTGCTCGACGTTTAAAGCTTATTTTTGGCAAATGTGAGAAAATTTTATCTAGTTTGTATGTCAATAGAAATTCTTGCTTTGCTTTATCATCACCATTACAAATTATTAATTCGACGCGGACAAAGTCGCGGGTACACGCTAGTTTAAGTGTAAAACTAATTCGAACTCTAGTGTATAGTTGGTTTACTTATGAAGAATATACTACACATTTTCTTATATTGCTATTTTTTGACCACAAATGGTAAAATTATAACTAAGAGCTTCTTGCCCGTCGAGTGAGATGCACCCTGTACACTGCTACGCAATTCAGGATCTACGCCGATCGAGGGGCAAGGCGTAGGTAGATCGGAATGTATACGTATAGACGAGTGGCGGAATTTTGGCTTTTTTATATCGCAATTTGTAAACAGCGCTTATTTGTAAACAACGACCGTTTTTAGAGGGGTATTTTAGATAACAATCGATATTTGGAAATTTTTAGACACCCTGGAAATACTACCACCGAGCATGTCATTGTAGCAACTTGCAACTGCGTTAATACGCCTGGCGGCGACCGCTTCATACTCTTTCAGATATTTAGCAATAAAATAAAGAAACCTGTTATTTTTAAGCTGTTATTTTAAGCTGTTTTTTATAAATAACTATAACAGTTTCAACTGTTATCTAAAAATAACAGTTTTGCCCATCACTAGAATCCAATATTTAAAGTAATATATTGTTCCCGACTGCTAAAAATAATTTAACACTATTCTGGATGTGGTGACAGAATTTATAATTTTCACATCACATAATGGTCACATCAGGCTAATTCCACATGTAACAAAAACTAATCTAAAATTTGACTCTAAATTGGATGATAATCATTTCTCAGTAATGGAAAGATACATGACATTATTTCCTTGGGTCTTAGTTCGATAATTTAATTATGCATTTGTTAGAATGACGATATTTTCAGAAAAGATATGCTATGATGTGAAATATACTAAACTTATTTTGACAGAACTTACAACAATGAAAATAATATCTATACTTTTCTAGCGGGTTCATTTCTTCAAAAAAGGGTTCTGGGTTTTTCGCTACTGGAAGAAAATCTACCAAATAAACGGTAGTCTTTGTAAACACCACTGCTTTGATCCAACGGAGACCAATTTGTCATTGTATTTTAGTGAACAAATTTGCCTACTAAGAGAGAAAACCAACAAAATATACTTAACCTTTCAGGAGGTAAGTATATCTCCTCCCGTCGTCAGAAGCAAAAAATACAAAGAACAAAGAAAGAAAGTATTTAAAATATCTAAATACAACTATTCAAGAGCATGTTATTTTTTTAGCAGAAAGGTCTATTATAAAATGTTGACGTTCTTACAACAATGGTTAAATTTGAAAGCTGTAAATTAAATAAGTTGATTTTTCTTTTTTCAATTACAGATTGTTAGATCTCTAAATGTTTACCTTAACAGGAGAGTGAAATTTCATATTTGAAAAAGAAAGGTTAGTGTTACTATTGGTATCAATAAATGATAATGGCTTGAGACTAAGAAATAAATATTAGTCAAATACAGTATGATCAAAATGGAATTAGCCAATGTAATCGTTCATTTTTCTGTAGCTTGCATTTTCTTTAAAGAGAAATAAAAAGATCTTTCATCATTTATCCACCTCATTCGTCATTTGACACATCAGAGTCATCATCTAGATTTATGATGATTGGCTTCTGGACACTAACTATTAATTTCTCTTTCTCCCATGTGTCCTTAATTAATTTAGTACAATGGCCCACATAATTTGCCCATTGTTCCACAGTGACTTGCTCCAAAGCTGCTTTCCAGCATTCCTCTGGGTTTTTTATTTTGAGAATATGCTGGTCATAGTATCTTTTTGTTTGACTCCATACCAACTCAATAGCGTTAAATTGGCAGTGGTATGGAGGCAAACGCAATACTTCGTGACCAGCATCTTCTATAATTTTATTTACCGCAAATACTTTATCATTTTTTGGGATTTTATTAATTACATCCCATAACACACCCAATGTAGAATGTTCTGGAAAGCTAATGTTTTTGGAGCGAAGCCACTGTTGAATATCACTCTTTTTCCAGGTTTTGGTGGGCCATTTATCTAGTTGACGACTGTGATATGCCGCATTATCTAATATTATTAATGAAGGTTTCTTCAAATTTGGTAATAATTGTTGATGCAGCCACTTTTCAAAGTTAATTGAATTCATGTCACCATGATAATCCCCCTGGCTTGTCTTGGATTTAAATAACAAGCCAGCATCCTTTATAAACCCTTCTTCAGATCCAGCATGGAGAACAATGTATCTAAAAAAGAAATTAATAATATTATTATAGTGTAAATTCTTATTTGTGAAGGAAGTAAAATATTAACATGTAGAGCACATTATCTATTTAATTTATATTTTTCTACTTCTGCATGATATTGAATTAGGCAGAACTTACTGAAAAAAGGGTACTAAGGGTCATGCCTGTTTATAACAAAATTTTAAAATCAATTTCATGATTACACATTAAATTCAAAAACTGTAAAACTACATCCTCGTGAAATTATGGGCAAAACGTTTGAAATAAAATAATTATTCTGCTTTTTTTCTTTCTTAATAGAGATATACAGGGTGCTACAAATTCGAGGTACGAGCATTGGTATCTCGGAAAGCCTAATAGATACGAAGATGGCTAAATTGTGGCAAAGTTGCGCCTTGGAATGTTTACCAACATGCTTTATCAAAAGTTTCAAAAAACTTCAAGGATTGCTGAGTTTTTTTTAGAAAAACGGAATTTTTTTGAAAATCAATTTTATTTTTTCCTGTTGTTACTTTTTCAGAGACTTTTTTACAGAAAATCAAAAAACTAATTGAACATTCTCATAGCCACTTTATCAGGGCTATCTGACAGTATTTTTAGATTTTCAAATTATCTGATAATTTGTGAGATACATAGGCCAACTTAATTTTTTTAAATACGGACCTTAATTTTTTATTTAAGATTTTGAAAGAATTCAGTCTCCTGAGTATAACGATATGCCACAGTTTATTTTTTTTTGTTTTAGATACTTTAACAACAAAACTGTTTAATTATTATTTAATATAATTTCAAGCCCGACTCTGGATTTTTAAATTATTTAACCTGATTATATTCATGGCAACAATAAGGAAAATCGAGCCAATTAAAAGATTTAAATAAATAATATCCATGTCAGCAATTTAAAATATATCATTTTTAACTTTTTTTGTGAATTTGAAATCTCAATGTATGATCTAATAATATACATAATATTAATCGTAGTTATTATAAATACCTCAACTCCTACAAACAAATTTCTAATGCTCTACATGTTTAAAAGGGTTTATTTAATACCACCCTCCCTATTGCACACATTTATTTTTCGTTTAATTTTATGTATAGCCCTTTCAAAAGATCTTATACTTTCGACTTCCGAATGCATTTTGTACACTTTGTTGTAAATGATGAGGTACCTATACCTATATTGATTTCACTTTAACAAATGATGTCAACACACAGGTTCAGGAACCTCGCTGGCCATTATGCTACTCCACCATTCCCAATCCATCGTCCGAGGAAATTATTTTATTGTTTATATTATATTTATCTTATTTTTTTTTTGTTATTTTATTGTATTTGATTTTCCGTACTTAATGGTTTATCTCACGTCATTGTTCAGTTTTAAAACTCCTCAATATTGTAACAATGAATAGATTAAATATTTAAAAAAAAGCAAAGCCGGACTTGAAATTAGTTTAAATAAATTGTGTTCAAATTTCCGAAACAAAAAAATATTAAGTGTGGCACATCATTGTATTCAGGAGGCCGATTTCTTTAAAAATCTGAAATACAAAATGCAGGTCCGTATTTAGAAAAATCAAGTTGGCCTCTGTATCTTACAAATTATCAGATAATTTAAAAATCTATAATACTATCAGATAGCCCCTAATAAAGTGGCTATCGAAATGTGCAATTAGTTTATTGATTTTTTTAAACAGTAACGACATGAAAAAAATAAAATTGATTTGCAAAAAATATCGTTTTTTCCAAAAACTCAGCAATCCTTGAAATTTTAGAACTTTTTGATGGCATCTTGGTGAAAATTTCAAGGCGCAACTTTGCCCCAATTTAACCATCTTCGTATCTATTACGGGTTACGAGATACCAATGCTCGTACCTCGAATTTGTAGCACCCTGTATATGTTACGGTTAAAGCCCGATGTCCGGTTAATGTCGACATTAACATGTTAATGTTTGGGTTAGGTTATGTTTTTGGCTGTTTTGTTGTGTGTTATTCTCGAGATTAACCGGGTAATGTCGACATTAACCGGACATCGGACCTTAACCGTAACATATACACAAACAATATAAACTAGGGTTGCCAACTTTCAAAATAAAAAATGGAGGACGAGAGGGTAAAAAAGTAGCACAGGTGAAACATTTTTGAAACCTCGCCCAAATGTCTAGAATTTACCAAAAAGTTATGTTAATGGTATGCAATTGATCGTCTCTCTTACTTTCTTAACAATATATATACTCAAAATTTGTTTAAATAAAACTAACCATTTTTAACAAAACTTTTTTTTCAAAACAAGATTATCGCTTCCATTAAATATTTCTTTTACAAAAATATTTCTTCATCATATTTTCTGTACAAATGAGTGAATGAACTAGCGGAAAGACGCAGATTAACAATTTTTTAAAGCATTGGATGGCGATACACAAACATTTTTAGATATTGAGTTTGGTATGTAAAAAACAGGACTTTTTCAATACGCGAGACAAAAAGAGGACAGTGAGATCAAAAAAGAAAACTGTCCTCTGGAATAGGGACGGTTGGCAACCCGAACTTAAACACCACTTGCGTGATTTTTTATTATAATAACTTAGAGGTTAAGTTAGAGTTAGCATGTATGTTGGAATTATATATGCACTTGTACCCAGTTTCAGATGTACATATAAATGTAATGCTTTATACCTATGTCCTTCTCCAGAGGATTTTCTTACAGATCTTACATCATCATCCTGCCATGATCTTCTAAATGAACCATTTGAAAATACCCAGGTTTCATCAATATATATGCAGGGTTTTTATTTATACCCAACTCTTCATTCGCAATAAATCTATGAAATTAATCAGTTAACTAGGGTTATAAGTTACAAAAAAAAGTACCTTTGCAGAAAATTTCTTCTCAAATGTGCTATGTGAGGCAACTCCATTAAAGCCCTGCGTTTGTCATCTTTTGTAAAAAAAAACCAATAGTTTTAAGAGACGACCAAGGCTGGTCGTACTACCACCGTAAATTTCTTTTTCCATTAAGCTGGCTTGAAGGGATTTTATAGTCACTGGTAAATCTAAATAAATATGTATAAATACAGCAACCATGTCTCATATGCTATAAGTTAAAGTGTTACACCACATAACATATAATTAGATTCCTGCTTTTGACATGTGCCTTATGCACTTTGGTTAAAATTTCTAGACATTACCTATTAAAATATTATTTACATATTATAATTAAAAGTTTAATGGTATTATATACTAAATATATTTTACTATAAATTAAATACTATGCAACTGAAAAATGGTTAAATATATTATATTATCACCTAATGATATTGATAATTCCTGCAAGCACACATGCCAAAGGCACAACTCTATTTTCATGATTTAAGCATAGATAATGTTAGAAATAGGTATAGTTATGAACACATGCACTAATAATTTCTACATGAATTGGAAACATGGGATATGAGCCATGCATAGCATTGTTGTCAACATATTCTCTAATTAAATTCTAAATGAAATAACTACATGGAATATGAGTCATTCATAATATAGTTATAAACACATTATCTAAGAAATTCTACATGAAATAACTACTTGGAATATAAGCCATCCGTAAAGTTATGAACACATTTTCTAATTAAATTCTAAATGAAATAACTATATGAAATCTAATTTTTCTAATCTCTTTTTTTTATAAATGCACTATCTGAGAAATTCTACATGAAATAACTTGGAATATGAACCATGCATTTACTAACTCATTACAACATACCTGTTGTTTGATATTCTAACTATATCTATTACAAACCTTAAGTGTTTTAAGTTTATAATTGTATTTCCTAATTTTTTTTGTGTATGCTGTAAAGTAAAAACAATATACTTCATAAAATATAAAAACAATGCAATATTAAATAGATTCATAAAAACTACTTACAATTATTGTACATATTGTATATTTCACATCTTATTTGGTCTTTGGTGCCATTCCCAACATCAGCTGTCTTCAATTTCTTCTTCTGTCTTAAAGTCTTCCCAACTAACTCGTCTTTTGGACCTTCTTTATATTTCGAAACTGACTTGCAGCTAATTTGTAAAGCCCGTGCTGTTTCCTGAAATATAAGTTTTAATCTACATATCCTAAAAATATGACAATTACAAACCTGAAGGGGACTTATATGAGGAAAATTCTTCACAAAATAATTGTAGACATTTTTTACAAATATCTGGGCTAGTTTATTCCCACAAATTTGTGGATGAGACATAGCTTCCTAAAAAAAATTAAGTGCTTTACACATTTTGAATATCTTCCTGGCTATTCCTGAGTTCTTGAGCAGTGAAGATTATTTATATATAAACAAAACATCATTCTTAAAGGTGATTACAATGTCATCACTTTGTTTATGATTAATGCTTCACTTAAAACTATTTATACCTGATCCATTTGATTTTCATTATCACTATCCGAAATATTTGGCAACGGATTATTGCTAAATGTTTCTAAAAATATTAAATTAAATAAAACTAACAGAGATGCGTTATAGGTTATGATCTTACCTTTAAAAAAAAAGCTTGTACTGGCCATATTATTAAACTACCGAATACTATAAAAATACAAACAACACAAACACAAAACGATAACTATATAACAAGAACTACAAGCTAAATTAAAGAACACAGAACAAAATCAAATAGAAAACTCAAAACACAAATATTCAAAATCACAAACACGGGCCGCAGCGTCGATCGTCGATCAGAATAATCTACCACAGAAGAAATGCAAGGAAGGTTGGAAGAATCGATTTGAGCTATGGATTTGAATCTAGGTATTTTTGGTTTTCAAGCCTTCCATTCTGAAGTCGGCCATATTGGGAAGTTTTACGTGAATACAAGTATAATAACAATAAACTAAACATTTGATTTTAATAATTACGTTTTATTAATTATTAAACAAGCCATGTGTTACAAGTTTATAACTTACAATGAACTGTGAACTGTCTAATGTCGTCATTTTCGGCATTGACCGTATGACATAACAGAAATTTATTAAATTACTATAAAGAAAGTTTAACTTCAATTAATGAATGAGATACATATTGAAGATACATTGAAACATAAAGGTAGAAGTGCCAACTTGTCATATAGAAAATACAAGAATGATATAAGAATAAAGAAAATATTATAAGGATGATATAATATATATTTCTTGTATTTTCCATATGACAAGTTGGTATATATATATAGATCATGAAATAGGATGAATATTAGATTCACACCGACCTGTTACACTTGATACCTTTGAACTAATTGTTTGTCCAAAATTAATTGTTTTATCATCTTTGAATATATTTTGAAATTCTTCAAAGTAGGGCCATAAAATTTGACCTCTTCCTGTAGATGTCTTACTATTATTGTCTAAAATTGTTTTGAAAGTCTTTTTCAGATTTTTAAATTTATTGTCCAATAAATCTTCCGAGACTGTGTACCCCTTCTTAGCAAAAACTTTTTTGATTTTTAGCCATAATAATATTTTTTTAATTTTTGGATCCCTAAATTTCTCTTTTCTAATTTCATACGCAGATAGCAGTAGTTTTATGGATGCACTCCAATTTACAGTAAAGTTATCATTTTCATCATTAACCTAAGCTAAACCTAGAATAAAAAAAACTAAACCTAGAATAAAACTCAATTTTAAATTAATAAAACATATACAACAGACCTTCTGTTGGTAGCGAAACCTTTTCATCATGAGTTGTATCATCCACATTAATTATCCCTAAATTGCTTGAATTTTCTGTAAAATACTGAATTGCAAATTCAGCTGAAATATGAACACACATAAATATATGTACCTTTAGAGATTTATTTTACATTTTCACTTACCATTACTTTCTAGCAGATCATGTGTTTCTGCATCTTCAAAGACATTGTAAATAATATTATTGAAAGCATATGAACAAGAAAATTTATTATAGTTATCCATTATCTGTTAAAAAATATTCAATATTCATGCAGGTACAACCAGACAATCCGCGGTATAATCAGATAAGCAATTGTCAGACTAAAATGAGGAAACTTATGAGGAAACAATTATTTTCTTAACACCCACATTTAACAGAATTTTAAAATTTTAACCTTGTAAGCACAGCGTTGAATCCTGTGAAGCACACACAGAGACAACAAAAAATGTGACAGGTGACAATTATGACGACCGGTACGTAAATAAACCGGAAACAAAATACGGTAGGCTCCCCAGTGATCGGTGACCACAACCGGTGAGTTACCATTGGCATTCACTTTAATTTTCTGCACAGGTGGACTAACCGGTGTGTTTACTGAATGCGCCCATTTTGTCACTATTGCTTGTCAGAACATCTGATGATATGCAGACTGTAGAATGCACGAAAACACTGTGGTTTAAATAAAACACTGCTTACTTGCCGGCTATCGTATATTAACTGAACTTGTCTTTAGTTTAGTTTAGTTTAGTTATTAATAGTATAGAAGAAAAGTATTTTTACAAGTCAGAAAATATATATATAAAATGATAAAAATTGATAAGAAGTTAGTTTCTACAGATTTTTTTTTGTTTTGTTTTTACATTGCAAAATCATTATCATTAATACACAAATTTGATAAAATAAAATTTATACAATTAAACAATAGAAAAATCATTAAAACGTTAAAATTAAAACAAATATGTGTCAATTATATTTATATGTTATAAATGAACAGAACTAAAACAAATGAAATTATAGACTAAAGCTGGAACTGAAGTACTCCTCAAAAGAAAAAAATGCATTCATTATAAGGTAGTTTTTGATTTCTTTTTTGTATTGATTAAAATTAAGAACCTTGATTCTAGCTGGTACCAAGTTATAAAACTTCATGGTCAAATATCTTGAACCATTCTTGGATCTCTCAAGCCGGCAAAAGTCCTGTACAAGATTGCTGTTGAAAGATGGCCGACTAATGTTGTTCAAAGATGGCCGACGGTGATGTTGTTCCTAACAAACCGTCCGATAAAATATTGGAAAATTGTAGTGAAAAACTGTGTTTTCATTGCAAAAAATCAACAAAAAACTTTATAAAGTGCGGGAAATGTGTGAAATATTACCACTCTGCCTTATTCAAGCTGCAACGCAAAAATCGACAAAGTGTCGCCATGTACCGGAGTACGCCTATGAAGAGTCCTGGAGCCACGAAAAGGATTTCTATGGGATGATAATCAAACTCTTAGAAGAAAAGAACATTTTGTAGAAGAAAACAATCATCTGATTCAGGAAGAAAACAAAGATTGATAAATCAACATGAAACATCGAAGGGTGAGGTTAGGAAGCTGGAAAACATCGCGCCAAGAACTCTGTGTACGTAATAAACTTGACACACGACCTGGACTTAACCAATAAAAGAGAAGAAAATAGAAGTAATCAATCCAATTCTGATCATGTGGCAACACATGTCAATGTCAATAACGTCAATTCTGACAGCAACAATGACGTATCTAAAAAGTCAAAACAAGAACAAAACTTTTCCCTAAATAAACGGATAATGTAGAGGTTTCGGGGTGGAAAACTGTTAGCCCGAGAAACCGTTCCAAAAAGGGTAACAAACCTGATTCTTTGCAATTAGTCAACACAATGACTAGCACCTCAAGTACATCAAAGGCATTTCCACAAGAAAATTAGGCCAAATGCTAGGCCAAATCCTAAGAAAGGTGAAAATAATGATGACTTGTTAAGAGTTGCAGTCAACTCAAGAAATGCGTGGATATTTATTTCTGGTCACGCCCCCGTTCCAAAAAGAGTAACAAACCTGATTCCTTGCAATTAGTCAACACAATGACTAGCACCTCAAGTACATCAAAGGCATTTCCACAAGAAAATTACGCAAAATGCTAGGCCAAATCCTAAGAAAGGTGAAAATAATGATGACTTGTTAAGAGTTGCAGTCAACTCAAGAAATGCGTGGTCTTGCTCCAGACACGAAAGCTGATAATGTGACTGCCTTTCTTAATAAGTACAAATTGGATGAAGATTGTTTGTGTGAAAAAATGGTCACCAAAAAGGATCGTTTTTATAGCTCATTCAAAGTAGCTCATTCAAGCAGGTCCTCAACTGAACAGGGAGGCGGTGACGTCTCCTAATTTATGACCTCTTGGAGCAACCATCAACCAAGCATTTCTTCGCATTCAACGACCACTGTCTGCCAGGAACTGACAGCTGAGGACTCCAAAGGACAAATTGAAAGAGTCGCTTTAACACGAAAGAAAGCGGCGCCGGCGGCGGAAAATCAAATATAGGTAATTCCATGTAAAAAAATACTTTACTGTTTCACAGCGCTCTTATAATACATCAAATAAATTTTCTAAAAAGTGTTTTAAATTCCCCGTCAAAAAATACAGAAAATGGCTATCTTGATTTTTTTTAAAAATAATTTTTAGGCGAAAAGCTAAGGGGTGTTCACTTTATACTGGATCACCCTGTACTTACATTTAAATGTAACTTAAAAAGTAATTGAAAATAATTAAAACCATAAAATATAACATTATACAGGGTGGCCCATTGAAAACAGGCATAACAGGCATAATGTTCACTAAGGGAATTGGCAACAGTGAATAGCAAATAAAATATGTAGTTCTATATCAAACCTTGAATAACATTAAACATTAACATTAGAAACCAATAAACAAAAGTAAAACATTCCAAACAAAAATAACTTAAGGACTACAAAAACATTACAGATTGACATTAAGAAACAAGATTTCGGAGAGGCGCTTTCCTTTCAACCGATTCCGAAGATCTGTTAGGACTAATACCGCCTTTGAGAAGGTTCTCTCTGATGGCACAGAAGTCGCTACAATGCATAGTTCTTCATAGCTAATCGATGTAGACGTGGATATATCTGTTTCCGCTGAGCCCATCATTCCAATGGATTTTGAGCTCTTGGCTGTAAAGATTCCTCTAGGTACTTTGTCACTTCCATAATAGCAGCAGTTCTTGGATTAGGGTTTTGAACAAAACTTGAAGCCTTTTCATCGAAATTGATCTGTGGCTTGCCTGACTGTTAGAATTCGGATCTTCAGTTATAGGCTGATTGTTTGACTCGAGACTCACACTATTTTTTTCTGTCATAATAATAGTGGCAGTCACTTGTGAAATTAATGACTGTTTGGTCTTTTCAAAATTTGATTCGCTAATAAAGCCATAGCGCTTGAAACGGGGATCCAGTAGGGTAGCTTCTGAATATATTTTATCTTCTTCGACCAAACTAACTTTTTTGCTAATTCCTTCACTTCTAAGGGACCGTTTTCGTTTATTTCGAGGTAAGCCTTGCAATGCTTTTTCAAAGCAGAACTAAGTAAACTCACTTTTGAAATAATGACTTGTTTTTCACTACTCGTTTCTATAGTTATAGTTACATCCTTAAAAACTTTCAGTAAATCGCATACACCCTCCATTAGTAAAATATCATTGTTGTCTATGTTTGGTAGGTTTGGATAATTTTTCGCAACAACCGATATGAGCGAATCTTTCACCTCTAAGAGGCGGCTGATCATATAGAAAGTAGGGTTCCACCTAGCGAAACAGTCTGGTTTTAGTGACAGAGTGGCTTTACCTAATTGAGAATAAGAAAGTATTTTTTTGTTTGCATTTCTTTAAGCTTCAAACTCGCCTGGGAGCTCCTTTTGAAAAATTCCAATTTTTTTTTTTAATTTCAGCTTGTAAGGTAGTTATATCTGTTAGACTGGATTGCACAATGAGGTTTATGGTATGTGCAAAACATCGAACATGCTTCCATCCTGTTATTTTGATAGCACTAACTACACTGGCGGCATTGTCACTCGCCACAGCAACTATTTTTTCCTGGATGTTCCACTCGCGAGCGATTCTCTGTAACTCGTTGCTC